TAAATAATTAATATTCATATATTTTATTTTTACTAATGATAAAATTTATAAAATGTAATATGCTAATTAGTATAAGAATTATAAACACGTATAAAATTTTATTTTTATCTATGCATAATCGAATAGATACAAATAATTTTAAATAACACTCATCAAATTAAGATAATTCAATTATTTTTATTTGCGATATTTACTCCATAATTGTCTCTATCTCTCTCTACATTAGGGGAATTCATTGACAATTCTAGTCTAGAACCAATAGCCAATAGTAGGAAAGTGTAACCTCAATTATCTATACTTATATAAGGTGTACCATTTACGAAATTTAGTAAGTTGAAAAGTCAATACAATAAATGCATTACTATTTAGAGCAACATAATATAACATCATATCTATACTTATATAAAATGAGATTCTATTTATTACATTTACTGTCCAAAAAAGTCAACTGCATTAAATGCCATTACTTTTTTGGTATTATAATATTTTATTTATTTAAATGATTTATTTATTTGTTTTATTTTAAAAAGGTAAGTATAATAAAAAGATTTTAATAATAAAAAAATCAAATACCAAATAAAAATGTACACTTTGACTTATTTGATTATATTTGGTATTTGATTATACCAAATATATTCCTATTTAGTATATACATTAAATACTTACTAAAATATTTATTTGTCAAAGTTAAGTATAAATTTGTTTATATTATCAAATCATAAAAAAATATTAAATCCATATTGTAAAAAAAAATCATATAATTTATAACAATTCTACTACACTATTTAACAATATTCCTTTTTTATTATATAATAAAATAATAATTAAATATTATATGGTGAACAACAATAAGTAAAAATGTTACTTTCTCCTATATTAAGGGATAAATTTATATGCCAAAATTAAATTTTTATTAGTATAAATGTTTTAGTTAGATAATATATTAATTATTTTACAAGTTAGCCTAACATGCTCATGTTTAATGTTTTAAAAGATGTAGAAAAAAACTTATAATAATTCTATTGTTTTTTAGACTTAAACGTTGATTAAAGAGGTAAAAATTCCTAATTTTTTAGACTTAAACGTTGATTAACACCATAGATTGAGAATCTATATTTAGTCAAATTCCTAATTGTAATAAAAAAATTAATTTTTGCTATATTTTAGAATATCTTTAAATTCATTATAAAAAAAAAAGAAAAAAAAACTACAATAAAAAAAACAAGTCAGCTATATATCGATTTGTTGTACTCCTCAAATCACATTCACAATTTGGCTACAAGGAAAGGAAACTCATTGATTAAAATATTATTTTCTCAGTAGTCTTAATGTACAAGAGACTTTAAGACTCCACTTGAATATTATAAAACTTTTATTGAACATTGTACAATTTTCTTGCGTATTATAAACTTTTATTGAATATTGCATCTTATAATATAATATTCTCCAAATAAATATATCCCGTGCTTCGCATGGGTCATGTACTATATATATCCTGTACATTTTTCTTTATTCATGTATATAATTATAAGCCTGGATAAATAGTCTTAAAATTGTGCACCCCGTGCATCGCACAGGCTCTGTACTAGTAAGATCATAAAGAATGATTAATTATGAGATCGTTAACAAATAAATTAACTTGGTATTTCTTGTAAATATAATCTCTAAGAAATCCAACTACTTGAATCAAATAAAAATAAATTACTCTTTTATTGTTGTAATTAATACTAACGCCAACAGTATTGAATATAATTTATATTGTAAAAATTATATTAGACCGACCTAAATATTAGGCCGGCATATTTTTTTTACAAATTTGCATTTTTTCGTTAGAAAATATCATAATTAAAAAATATCATAAACAGAAGTATGACAAAGTATGACATTGATAGTATACGTATATACTTTTTCTTCATAGGATATGGTGAGGCAACCCACCTAATGGTTAATTTGTCTAATCCAAGAACTTGTGAATATTATAATTCATACGTATGAATATTATATTTAAAATTATAAGTTATACAATATGCATATCACTTTTAATAAATGAATCACTACATAAATTGCATAAAATATATTGTAGCTTACAGAATTTAAGGATCATGATCGATTAGTGAATTTAAAAAATATTAAATTATTATTATAACAATTATTTACCCGTTTAAAAATAAATAACTTGAAGAAAAAGTTCTAGTATAACTTTTGTACAAGTGTTTCATAAACCTTTCAATGGCAATTTCTAATTTATAAAATTATATTAATTATTATATGATATACAAACATATTATTATACATAATTAATGAAAAGATTAACAATCATTTTTTAAAGCTAAATCTATACTTATATTAAAAGGTATACCATTTACCAGATTTAATATAAAGAAAAGTCAATAACATTTATTGCATTATTATTTTCGTATTATACAATCTATACTTATATAAAAGGAGATTTTATTTACTACATTTACTATCCAGAAAAGTCAACTGCATTAAATGTCATTACTATTTTGGTATTGTAATATTTTATTTATTTAATTAATTTATTTATTTGTTTTATTTTAAAAAGATAAGTATAATAAAAAGATTTTAATAATAAAAAAATTAAATACAAAAAAAAAATGTACACTTTGACTTATTTAATTATATTTGGTATTTGATTATACCAAATATATTCCTATTTAGTATATACATTAAATACTTACTAAAGTATTTATTTATTTTATTTGTCAAAGTTAAGTATAGATTTGTTTATATTATCAGATCATAAAAAAGTATTAAATCTATATTGTAAAAAAAAAAATCATGTAATTTTATAACAATTCTACTACACTATTTAACAATATTTCTTTTTTATTATATAATAAAATAATAATTAAATATTATATGATGAACAACAATAAACTATTACTTTCTCTTATATCAAGGGATAAATTTATATGCTAAAATTAATTTTTTATTAGTATAAATGTTTTAGTGAGATAATATATTAATTATTTTACAAGCTAGCTCTAACATGCTCATATTTAATGTTTTAAAAGATGTAGAAAAAAAACTTATAATAACTCTATTGTTTTTTAGACTTAAACGTTGATTAAAAGAGGTAAAAATTCCTAATTTTTTAGACTTAAATGTTGATTAACACCATAGATTGAGAGTTTATATTTAGTAAAATTCCTAATTGTAATAAAAAAAATTAATTTTTGCTATATTTTAGAATATCTTTAAATTCATTATAAAAAGAAAAGAAAAAAAACTACAATGAAAAATACAAGTCAGCTATATATCGATTTGTTGTACTCCTCAAATCACATTCACAATTTGGCTACAAGGAAAGAAAACTCATTGATTAAAATATTATTTTGTCAGTAGTCTTAATGTACAAGAGACTTTAAGACTCCACTTGAATATTATAAAACTTTTATTGAATATTGGACAATTTTCTTGCGTATTATAAACTTTTATTGAATATTGCATCTTATAATATAATATTCTCCATATAAATATATCTCGTGCTTCGCATGGGTCACGTACTATATATATCCCGTACATTTTTCTTTATTCATGTATATAATTATAAACTTGAATAAATAGCCTTAAAATTATGCATCCCGTGCATGGCACGAGCTTTGTACTAGTTTAATAAAAGTAAACAGTACGTAATTACATACAAAATAATAACAACAATCTACAATCTGAAAATCATCCTTCTCGCATGTCGTGGCACGGGCTTTGTACTAGTTTAATAAAAGTAAGCAGTACGTAATTACATACAAAATAATAACAACAATCTACAATCTGAAAATCATCCTTCTCGCATGTCGTGGGCCCACATTCCCTTCATTATTATTATTATTTTTTTTTTTAAAAGACGCTTTAATAAAATCCCATTACCTTCATTTTATCTGGACTGGCTCTCATAGTGCTCTGTCGTCTTCCTTTTGCCAAACACTCAGCGAGTACAGTGAGTGAAAACCCACACACGCAGGCACACACACATATATAGAGAGAGATGAAGGGAGGGTACGCATTTTGTTTTCTGATTTATTGAGGTAACGAGGGTTGATCTTAATTTATGAGTCGTTAGTTTACTTTCAGTTCTCTGCACTGCTTACTGACTAATTTAGTCAAGTTTTCGGTGTATGTTGTGATCTATTGAGAAGTTCTTTGTATTCGGGGGAAGAAAATCCAGTTACTGGTTCAGATATATTGTTCCTTATGTTGTTTTTTTNGTGTTAAGTTGGTTGTGACAATGATGTGTGAATGCATGTGAGAGGGAACCTGTTTTTGTTTTTCCTATATATTTTTGGATTTTTATTGTTGTATTTTGCTAGGATTTGATTAAGGATGATAAGATTTTGACAGTGAGATTTTGAGTGTGCTTTAATCCATCTGAGATCTGAATACAGTGTTAAATCACATTTTGTTTTACTAAAGAGGGAGTTTTTTTCTTTTTTTTATTTATTTTTTTGCTTGGAAAATTTATGAAGATTTTTGTCTCGTTCTGGAAACTTGATTAAAGATGACCGGATTTTGAGTATGAGCTTGCGAATGTGGTTAATCCATTGTTTATGATGGACATTGAACAAGATGTAATTGATACCAATGTGGGTGCAGATGGAGACTCTAACAGGTTAATTGTCAAATGTTGGTAAAATTTTTAGATGAATTTTGTAAATTGAATCAATCTCTCTCATACTCAGACGAGGAAATTAGGGAAATGAAAATATTCGTTTCATTACATCACTACCATCAAATTTGTGCAAACTTATCATATTGAGTGATGGCAAAAAGAGAAAATATATAATATACCTATGCTTAAGACCAACTACTGGCTACACTGCTATTTGTGACATCCTGAAAATTGATAAATTAGATCAGACTTTTCTCGAGAATTTCATCAGACTGTAAATTCGAGATTTCATGGGTCAAATTTGAGTTTATCCTAATTAGTAGCAATTTATTGCTTTCATTTGCGCTTTTGGATTTGTGGTAATTGAAATATGCCTAAGATGAAATTCATTGTAACTCGTAATGATGACAATTTATCACTTGGTGTAGGTGTGGATGAACGCGAGCATTTGACCTGCCTACGTCATTCTTCAAGGTCTGCATTTTTCATCACTCTTATTTAATTTTTTATAAGATTATATATAGTTTTGGCTGATTTTATTTTACTAAAATGGCAAAAAAATCTAGTGTTTTGGCGGTTACCAGCTTTTGTCCGTTCTGCGCTCATCTACATACACGTGGCTACTGGTTATAATAGGGCTTGGAAATCATAGGTCCGGATTTTTTACTTTATTGGCCAATCACATTTACACACTACTGCCCACTGTTTAAAGCTTGTAAAGTTTAATGAAACAGCTCTGCTTCTCCTCAGCCCTCATTGGATACGGCGTTTTCGTTATAAATTAGAAACCAAGTTCTGTGCTTTATTGCATTTTTTAGTATCCTTTTCACTTGTTATTAAATTGTTAGGGAAGTTTTCTAACTTTTTTCTATGTTTCGCTTCTCAGTCTAGCATTATTGCTCTGGGTCTCCGATTGGAACAGCTCAAGGTACAAATAGTGGTGATACGGAGAAATAGGCATTGTAGAGAAAGAACCTTTTTGTTTTGTGAACTTTTCAGGTAGGAACTTTGTTTATGATGTTGCGTATCTCTTATACATATGCTGCATCTTCTGAATCTTTAATAATTTCTGAAATACCGAAATGTTGTTGTTTGGGTTTTGGTATACACAAACCATATTCATTCTATTCTATATCTTAGTTGAGTGGTGTGCTTATTTTAGAAGTAGCACAGAGCATTACCAAGCAGTATACTTCAGGCTTTAATTTTCTGTTTGGTTTGAATTTGTCCAGCTTGTCATGTCCTAGTGCAGTACTCCTGATATATTTTTGACATGCATCTTTATCTACAATTCGTTTTGAGTTTTTATGGTAGTTATATTTCTACTCACTAGTGATTAGTGAAGAAAATTTGGAAATTAACTGTTCAGATGTACTGATAATTTTAATTCAGTGAGCGAAGGACTTAAAGTCAACATATCTTTGTTGCTGCCTGCTGGTGCAGTTCAGAACAAAAAAAAAAAAGGAATAATGGAATTTCTTTTAACGATCTCTACAAGGACTTCACTCTTTCATTAATAATGTCTTTATTGAAAGCTAATAATATCAAGAAAGTAATAGATATGATTTTTGCAGTTGGGTTTACTGGTTAGTCGCGAACACACTCTAGGCACTGTGCATTTAACATTCTCTATTGTTCTTCTAGTATTTCCTTGAATCTTGTATCTTTAGTTGATGCTTTCATTTCCTAACTATATAGTTTCTGCCTGTGCATTATCACACAATGTTTTACGCATGAAATTAACTGTGTTGACATCCCATGGATGATAAATTTGGAATGTTTGTCTGTCACTTGATTTTTTTTGTTTTATTATTTTTCATTGTTCTTTTTAGACTAATACTTCATTCAATAACTGTCTTTTCCTTTTCCATATGAAGGATGAAAGTTGAATTACTTCCTTCGAGTTCCTCTTACACTGATGAGGATGACAGAAATCTGAAGCAATTGCTCGAGGCTTTTAGTTCTGTCGTCTCTCTCGAGGACATCGCGTCGGCCTATTGCGAAACTGGTCGAGACTTAAACTCGACTGCTGAACGACTCTGTATCTTGCTGAGTAGCCATAGTGGAGCTTCTTCGCAAGTAGCGCCAGATAATGTTGAAAACACGTTTAGTTTGTCCTCTGGATGTGCATCCAATGACATTCCGGATAATGCTCTTTTAACTAAACCAAAGACGAAGAAAGTTTCAGCATCTGTGGGGTCCATTTCTGATGTGATTGGCAAAGATTACTTTAGATCTAGAAATAAGTCAGATGGACAGACTCAGAAGTTGAAACCAGTGAAAATAAATTCAGATGAATTTCCAGATTCCATGATCTGGGATGAGAAAAAGGAGTCAGCCTCTTCCTCGCATGGTGAATCCATGGACAGGGATATTCAGGAATTTCTTTGCAAAATGCTCGAGGATGGATTCCAGCTAGAAAAGAATGTGATCCAGGATGTTATGGGTAAGCTCCATTGGTTAAATTACCTAAGTAGGTAGGTTAAAATGTTGTGTAGAACCTCTTCTGAATCATTTGTTGAATGCTTCAATTGAGAATGCTTATAATTAATTTGAAGTTGGGATCTATACACCTGAAACTTCCGTTGCAGGTTTTGTGAAGTATACTTCTATGGCTTTTCTCTATATTGAAAATGTTTAAGTGGTGCACACAGAGTTTATTTGCAGCTGGATTTTCTTATTTTGCTTCAGCTACACATCTTCGCTTAGAAATGACAGATTATAACATGGTAGTCTATTGATCTCTCTCGTCTCTTGCAATGTCGCATCTCACTGTGCAATGTTTTCAATATGCAGGTGAATGTGGGTACAATATCCCAATGGTAAGTGTTCTCAATTTTTATTGTTATTCTTCTTCTTTTTCTTTTTTATTTTGATTGACTGTTGCTGTTAGCAACTGTCTTGTTAAATGAGATTCTTGAATTCTTTTGATTTCTACATGTATGCTCACTGATTTTCATTAACCATGTATACATATACTTTTTTTATGTTGGGACTATGATGCTCCCTCTGAAGTAAGTTAAGAAGTCCGTCATTACAATGTGAGAAATGAAAATGTGATTGGATATATTGATATGGAAATTTAATGAGATACTTATCTGGATTGGAATTAGGATATGGAGCTCTGTTACTTTGCATCTTTCTACGTAAAGATGCTTTTCATTTTTCCTATTTCATTCGAGGGTATTACTGCCCTTGTGGTTTTCTCTATATCCTTATTGACTTATTGTAATTTTACATGCTAGCAGTTGGTCAAGCCCCATTTATGTTATGATACGCCAAGAATGAAGTAATGAACTTAAGCCCATAGACAGCAACTTGCATATAATACTGCATTGTTCGCTTTTTAGTAGATAGTGTGTAGAATTATGTAAGGAGGACCTCTGTTTCACTCTGTTTGCATTTAATAGTGTAAATGCATAAAGCATTTCTCTGTTATTAACTATCTCTCTTCATATTTAAACAGTAAATGTGATGCAGAATATATAATAATAATAATAATAATAATAATAATAATAATAATAATAATGATAATAATAATAATAATAATAATAATATAACATTATTATTATTATTATTATTATTATTATTATTATCATTATTATTATTATTATTAGTTAGCTTGGAGAATAAGCTAAGGTTCAGTTTGAGAGTTTTATTTAAAGGGATCTCCTGCTTTGTTATTAGGGGAGTTGTTTTTAGAATGAAATAAGATTTGATTAGTTATTATTATTATATATTCTGCATCAAAATGCATATAAGTGAATTTATGCGTTTTTATGTGACTGCTTCTTACTACTGTCTCTTTATAAAACTATGCAGAGTATTGATAAACTGATTGACCTATCCGCTGCAAACCTAGAGAAGAGTGATGATGTTATTGGCGTAACTTCTGGAAATGTGAGACCTCCTGGAAACATTCATGCTGAAAATTTTATTTATGAAATGTTTACCTCAGAAACTAATTTGAATCAAATAGGATCTTGAGCACTGAATATGTTTTTGCAAAAATCTTATTCCTTGCTTACTACAAGAGTCCTATCTGCACTGAGTATATTTGCTTCCCCTCTCCTTAAATCAAGATGATATGAAGGCCTTAGTGATAGTCAATATAAGTTAGCAATCAATTACCAATTTACCATTGTCCTGATATCCTTTCTTGCTTCTATTACTCTACTCTAAACAGACTACAAAGAACAGCCTTGGTCTGGGTTCCAGTTCTAGCAGAACACAAGCACCAGCTATTCCTTTTTCTGGAAGGTATGGATAAAATTTGATTTGATGCGATAATTACAAAAAATTATCTTTAAAGGTTTAGTCTAACTACAACAACTCCACTTATCTTTTCAGAACTACCGATTCCCCAATTTTATATTTTTGTAAGGTTTGATTCATGAAAGAGAAGCAAATGTCCAAGGGGTGAATTCAGAGATAGTTTTTCAATTAATGCTAGGTTGTCAATCATATTTATGTACTTTTACAACACTCTTCAGGCCATACAATGGTATGAGCTGGGCAGATGAAGTTGAACTATCCGAGGCTGGAACAAAAACGAAAGATGTACAAAGAGAAGTTCTGGAGGCACTATTTACCGGGCCCGACAGGTTCGAAAAAAAAGTGTCCGCTCCTCCAGTTAGACCAATTCGGCGGTCATCAGCCCACGGTCAGGTTGTGACGAAACCACCAGACGAAAAAATGTATGAGGATTTTTCATACATTACAAGACAACCTATCAATAACAGTAGTAAGTATATTATTTTTTGGCCGCAAGGTTCACTTTATCCTTATGATGTCGTTACATTTGTAGAAAATCTAAGGCTGCATTTGGATTTGATGGGAGGTTTTGTGGAAAAGATTTTTAAATGACTCCATTTAAGATGAAGTTAAAATCAACAATGGCTCCATTTAAGATTTCGAAGAACAGAATAATAGGAGATGGAAGATTTGAAATTCATGGATTTATGAGATTACCTCAACGTGCTCAACAGATTTAAAATCCTTACGTTAGTGCTTTCAGTCCAGCGAACTTATATCTTTCTTAGTTTATACTATATGAGCTTGTTCTGTTTACTGAACTTCAAAAGATAGACCAATATTTGTAGGCCATGTTTCTGACGGCTGTAACAAGGTGAAATGTACACACATCTGGTGCCGACGGGCTTCAGTTTTAAAGAAGTTTTATTACATTGTTGATTGTCGGTGCCATCTGTCATTCAATAGACTTTGCTATTTACTATTCATTAGTAATCATGTAATATGCAGTATGTCTTGGATATTGGAAAAATACTCAATGCTGATTTTGTCTTGATAAATGCTCTGTTACCTAATTACTTATCTTCACAATTATGCCCTCTCTTCACGAGCATCAACTGTGGCTTTCCCGAACCTTTTACTTTTAGTGTCCTGGTTTCCATGCCTTGTACTAATATTGCCAGGTGCGTGCAAATTTTGTGCATTAGGTGATGAATCTGACAAGATGAGTTATGAGGACTTGAGAAAAGCTGTGGCTGAGTATTGGGTCATTATGAAAGAGTACTATAAGGCTGTAAGTCTTTGCACTGCTGTGACTCACCATTTCTCTTATAACTTCCTCGAGCTTAATTATTTGTGGAACTTTTTGCAGTCGGTGGAAGCATATACTAGAAAGGATTATGAAAATGCGTCAAAGCTTCTGGAAGAGGTATGCTATTACACCCATTATTTTCCTACTATAACTTGAATCTGGAAGTCATAATAGGAAAGGTACTTCACGCCATTTTCTAATAGAAAGACACATAATTGCTTTTTGGACAAGTACTCACATTGTATGGCCCTTGCCACCACCCCCCAAAAAGACTTATTCTCACACAAGAATTTCTGGCACTAAAATCGCACAAGAACTCGTACTAACTTCACACACATATCAGGAATTGTTTGGTTATTTTGGGTGTTTGAAGGAAATGAATATAAATAATTTTGTGTTTTGAGAGTGTCTTTTTAATTGTACTGATTAGGATGTTTTAAGATATTTTAAGATAGCCTTGTTTGACGTTTTCTGTGAAAATGGATCTATTTAGACTTTTACGGTGTCATGGCCTTCATTTGATTAGAATCTTTTATGTACTTAATACATTTTTGTCATTTATTCATTCGTTCGTTATATTCACGTGGATGGGGTTTTAGGGCAACTTCTATATGAGGAAGGCTCGTGAAGCAGATGAACTATCTGCAAAGAAGCTTATTGAGGACAGGTTTGGTCAAAGAATTTTTTTGTCTTCCTTGCGGTCCCTTTCTGTTTCATTTGGAAGCCTTTGAGAAACTCTCTGATATCACTTAAAAAAAAAAGACTTCCATATTTGCCTGCAGTGACGAGGAGGAAGAATTCTCCATTAACATGCACTATCTGGATCCAAAGGATGCTCTGCAGAATATGAGGCTTCATTTGACTACTCTTTCTGGTTTGCCATGTGAGTTATATATTGTTTCTGGACATATTTTTTAAAGCATTATTAGAATAAGTACCCCATGAAGTTTAGCCAAATTACAAACAACTCCTTGACATTACCCTCTACAAGTTTGCCCCTTCAGGAGGGGTTTAAAAGGATAAATTGGCATTTTCCTTTGCAGTTATGCTGAATTTTAGGGGTGTTCCTCTGTAACTATCCCTTTTAAAAACTATGGCCTCACTTAGAGGGTGTTTGTTTATAATTTTCAATCCATACTCAAAATTTAACTCAACTTTAACTTAATCCCACTATCTTCAATATTATCAATATAATTAAATAATACCAATCAATCATTCTTACACACCACATCAATTTTAATTCACTTTTCATCCACTCACCTAATTTTAACTAACTATCACTTCAAATCATCTCTCTCCTACTTTTACATCAAATCAACTTAAATTATTTTATTTTAAATATTATTTTAATATAAACTCAAAATCCAAGTAACAACTAATCCTACCACATTTTTCAAAAATTAACAAAAAAAAAAAAAAAAAAAAACTCATTTTTTGAGCGGGTATATTTGTATCCGTGCATGCCATTAAGGTTTTGGAGTTGATGTTTATATGTCAGCTGTTCGCTATCTGAAGGCTGTAGTTGGGACAGATGGTAGAGACAAAAAAGATGGGCGGCGTAAGCGTCTGGTATGAGTGTATTCTATATCTGGCCAATTTTAGTGCAAAGAAACTGAAACTTGAAGTAACAATAATTTTTTAGAACAATTGCCAATATTTAAGCTCATATTTTCAGTCAATCAAGTTATATATAAGACATTAGTTCGCCATTCGGATAGTGAAATTGTCTTGTACTTTATTATTAATTTTAATTTTATTCTTATCATGTGTAGATCACTAAGCTTCTGGAGAAGGAGGGAATCCCTTGGACTGAGGAAGGAAATGGATGGATAATATCAATTCGGGCAGACGAACTTGATCCAAGGAGTCTGAGTTTCGCCAGCAAATGAACAAATTAAAATGTAATTAGTTTTCGATTTTATGCTACTATCTCAGAGAAGCTCACAATGAGGGCCATCTTATTTTGTCTCATTTGTGCCCTTCTTTAACTATAGAGCTATCGAGGAAGTACGTGCTTTTTGTTTCCCTTTACTTACACGGGAATTTTATGCGCCGAAAAAAGAGAAATAACTTTTATGATTGCATGTAATCAAAACCGTGCTTGTTATGAGAAAAATGATAGGGAAATGTTTGATGCCATGCATGTTAGGTGTTATTAAAAAAAATGATGAGAAAATTTTCGCATTTAGTGCAAATTACTGTCAAAATTGTGGGAGCACCATCGTGTCTCCCTTAGCAGTTCACTTGATTTGGCGTTAAGGTGATATTAATGNAAAAATTCCTTTGGTGCGTATGTGCAGTTTGCTTGGTTTTTACCTTGAGCTATTATTATTATGGATTTGCATGGAAACGGGAAAAGGTTTTATGTTTAAAATGTTTCAATTTTTGTTTCATTCTATTGGATTATTGACTTGCATATAATGGGCAAGAACTAAAACCACTAGAAATACTTAACTAAAGTCAAAATATCCCAATAATTAATTTTGCACAACAATTTCTAAAACAATTTTTCTGTACTTTATTAATATATTTTAATTTTGTAGTGGCCATGAATTCAACAAAACGTTCTATACTACCAACAAGTTTTTAACCGTTCAATTGCACACACACACATGGGCATTTGGTGATCCATTGGTAAAAAAAAAAATAAAAAAAAAATGACAAGGACATTATTTCACCAGTAGGCACAAATAATATTCCTCAGTTGAGGGAAAAAATACTCCAAATTCTCATTTCTCAGACACAGAAGAAAGTCAAAAAACACAAATCACAACACATCACTTGTGGTGGATTCCCTTAACCAAGATTTCTTCCAATTTTTCAACCCACATTAATATATATATATATATATACAAACTAAGGATCATATTAGTTTTTTTCCCCCCAAATTGGGGGCCAAAAACCAAGTCTTGACTAGAAAAATAATACATTTTCCCGCCCGAAACTCAACCGCCATCGAGCAAATCCACGAGATTCCACGAATGCCATTGTCTAAAAAAAAGAAAAAGAAAAACAAAAAAATGGCTCATTGAGTCAGCCTTTGCATTTCGTTTTGGTCGTTGAGAGTCTCGATTAGCAGTGGAGGAGCATATTGTGCTGTGCCTTGATGCTCATCCGAGTCTTGGCAAAAGGAGAGAATTATGGTGTCTATTGACATCTCAACCACCCCAAAAAAGAGTTTAGCCACAATGTACCCAAATCCCCAACACACCTGTTTAATAATAGTAGCCACATAATAGATAACACTATCAACCCGTTTTTCTTAGACTTTGGTTAATTCAAGTCTTGTCGCGAAAAATACTTCAATGAAGTGTTAGCTATCTTCTCGAAATTCCAATAATATTTCAAAATTCTTTATTTATAGTATAAAGTAAAGTTGGTGAATGTTTAACTAGAATATTTTTCACTATTATGTAATAATGATGCTTACCAGAACAGGGAATAGAGGGGATGAAATCTTGTTATGTGCCGATTTGTATTTATGAGTGTCCAACATCAAAAAGGCGAAAAGTGCACTCGTCAGACTAACACAAAGCTTCCCGAGAAAGAGAATCACATCCCCTATCACATTCACTTTCCCGATTCTGAGGATATTACTCATGATAAGCTCTGTTGCAATCTCGGAGGATTTAAAGAAACCTTTTCCTGTTATTGCAATCTAGCAAAAAAACATATGTCAAGTGAAAATGCAATGCTCGATAGCGGATAGTCGATCCCTTTTTAAATTAAAAACTAATTATGCAAAACCGAAAAAATTTGAACTTACCATGATATAAGCATTGCGGTTCACTGATTTGATGATGCACCCTATACTCCTAAGGCAGCCTTGTGAAGTCTGATAAGTAGCCTTTTCAAACCAGTTTTCGGTCATAGGATTTATTATGCCTTTAAGCTTACGACGAATGGCCTCGAGTATGAATCTAATTGATTCTATGAAGGACACGATAAGAGAGCCGATAGCCATTGATCCTAGACTGTATCGTACGAGCCGCTTCATTGAAGAAAAAACGGGAAGAAACGGGATTCCTTGCTGCTTTTTTCAAAACAAATCAAACGATTTTGTTATGAAATATATTTAGGCAAATATTTATTATGTAGTGCACTATCAAAAAGTAACAATTTTTTCCTACACTGAATGAAAGCAGAAAAGGAAAGATCAAACTTATGTGAGGCTAAGCTAATTGCAAAACTCAAAACTCCCTTGAGGTTTAAGTTTAATTAACAAAAGAAAGTTGAGTTATCTTTTACAAACATTTGGGAAATGAGACTTTCTTTGATTAGGCTAAACTTAAAGGGCGACTGTTATAATTATATTGAAAAATGTAAACAGGAACCAAGCCAAGCGACCTTTCGACTGATATAAAAAAACGACAAGTTAACACTTTCATTAACCAAAAATAAAACGGTTCTTTTTTTTTTCTCCCTAAATCACCTTATACCTATTAACTCATCTACTGGATACATATTTCAACTCACACCAAACACAAACGACATTTACTAAATAGTGCCAACTTTTAAAGATTAGATTATATAGCCGAGGACCCTTACCGAGATTTCCCCACGAGCCCAATAATACGAAGCAACAGAGCCAGCAATTATTGTAGACGAGCAAGCAATGATGAATTGGGTGGCCCAATAACCGCCAAACAGGTGGAAAATGATAGCAGCAGTTATATGAGACATGTAGCGAACGGTATAGCCACAGCAGCTATTGCAGCTCAGCTTCATTGCTTTGAGATCATAAGCACAGCAATTGGCACTACAGTCATTCTGCACAACACTTCCTGAGCTAAAAAGATGAAGAGCAGCTGATAGCCAGAACATGTAGAAAATAGCTAGTATGGCGTATGGTATAATTGGGAAGACTATCAGGGCCTGTACTTCTCCAATCACTTTTGCAGCTACCTGGGAAATTTTTAGATAGAGAAATGATTAAAATAAGACATAGTAAAGAAGGTTTTTAGAAGTGTTGAAGTGTTAGTGTGTTGCATGCTGCATATTGTGTTCTTCTGTTTTGAATTTCAGTTAAACCCGTTGCTGCTTTATTTATTTATTTATTTATTTATTTTCTAGGCGGATAAAGGTTGGATTTAGAATTCTGATTTTGATTTCGAGTGAGTTTTATGGAAGAAGACAAAATAAAATAAGATTAACCACTTCCTTTTAACTTATTCATCAAACAATCTTTTAGTACTTCAAATTCGAAAAGCCCTTGATATTTTCAATTTAGTAACTTAAATTTTCAAATTATAAGTTGCGAACTAAAGAGTAAAGACAGAAAGCTGCAAACGTTTGAACGTTAAGGAACTCCAGAAAAGATATCAATGATGGGTCGCATATAATCATGACATTACAAAACAGTACATATGTTATTTTCTTACTATCTCCCACTTCTTTGCATTCTCTTCGATGAAAAATATACCTTTTTCATTTCAATAAACATGAAAATAACATAATGTACCTTGAGGACGGATGTTCCCATGAGAATACGGCGGATAATAGCAATAGAGGATAGAAATGCGACAATCATCAGAGCTGTCATGAAAACAGCAGCAGCATGAAGATGATTTATCTCCTGAAAAAGGCACAACTCACATGAGAACTACTCTAATATATAAATGAAAAGGAAGCAATTTGCTGAAAATACGAATGATACATTTTCCCGCCAAAAGTTTGACAGTAGCGACTAAAAAAAAAGTGGATAAAAGATTGAAAAGCCTCTTCATTTCAAACTTGAAGGGTTTTTCTTCTAGAAATGCAATTTTTCTTCTAGAACAAATCATACCCTGGCTGACACATGATAGTATGGGTCGTGTTCGCCAATGATTGGAGAAATGGCATCATTTCCAATCCATCCAGCTGACAAAATGGAGAAATCGTTTCAGTTATGTCGTTTTATATTAATAAATTGAATCTACGAATGGGAGAAAGAAAAGGGAATTTTATGTGTGTGAAAAGATTCTTGCAATTCTGAAGTGAAGTAATTAAATATGTACATGACATTGAATAACAACAAAGGAAAAAAGTCACCTAACAGAAAATGGCATGTGTAGCTTAATGTAGACATGTAAAGTCTTCTATAATTAGACAAAGAATGCTAACCAATGTACAAATTCTGTAAGTAGAGCTTGTAGTTAGGAGTGTGAAAATATTGCTAATTACTATAATATGAATATGAAAGCAAAGAAAAACCAGTAAATCATGCAGTTCATCAGAATTCCCGGCCTTGCTGAAATTCCACTGCGCTTCGTTCGTTGGGTCGATTACACTCACAAATTGTTCTCGGAATTCTTAGCGCAAAATTAGATTACAATGGTACCATTATAAAAGTTTTCTCCATGAGATCCACTTAAAACTTAAAAAATCAATATTGGACTTGAAAAAATTCATAAGCACGTGAAATCAAGAAATTATATGCTAACCTTTCAAATAATAAAACATGGTCACAGATACCATGAGAATATTGAAAAGAATGACAGTAATCCAAGGCATTCCGGCTACAAAATGACGAATCATCAAAAGCCATATAATTGATAGAAACAGAGGCAGAAATCCCCCACAAACGAGCAGCACAGGCCATGCCTTCCCAACATCAGCCACATATCTCTGCAGGTAGATACTTAAAAAAAATGTTAAACTAACGAACCAAATTGGTGAAAAAACTTAACCAATTAAAAATACCAAACTCTT